ACTACTGCTACTGCTACTGCTACTGCTACTGCTACTACTACTGCTACTGCTACTGCTACTGCTACTGCTAGTACTCCTAGTACTCCTAGTACTACTAGTACTACTAGTACTACTAGTGCTACTAGTACTACTAGTACTACTAGTGGTACTAGTACTAGTACGCTACTTCTTCTTTTTCTTGTTCTTCTTTATCTTTTCCTCATTATCATTATCACTATCACTAGGACTTGCACTAGACTATCACTGTCGCTAACACTAGCACTAGCACGAGCAGTAACGCTAGCAGTATTATCATTATCATTGTCGTTGTCATTGTCATTGTCACTGTCATTGTCATTATGATTATTCTGGTGCTGCTGCTCCTGCTCCTTCTTCTTCTTCTTCTTCTTCCTCTTCTTCTTCATCTTCTTCTTCTTCTTCTTCTTCTTCTTCTTCGTCTTCTTCTCCTCCTGCTGCTCCTGCTCCTTCTTCTTCTTCTTCTTCCTCCTCTTCTTCTTCATCTTCTTCTTTCTCTTCTTCTTCTTCTTCTTCTTCTTCATCATCATCTTCTTCTTCTTCTTCTTCTTCTTCGTCTTCTTCTCCTCCTGCTCCTCCTGCTCCTTCTTCTTCTACTTCTTCTTCCTACCAATAATGAATGTCCTTGGTAAAGGTGCGAGGGATACTCGTCGGAAAAGCTTAGAGAAGTCTCTTCGTCAGTACTCAAATTCATTTTTGGTGCCGAGGTTGTTGAAATTTTTTTTTTTCAGTACTTATTTAATCTACTGAGTGTCACTGAGGGACTGAGTGAGCAGTGACAGCGGCTAAGCGGTACAGCAAACTATAAAAAATCACATGCGACGAACATCCCTTTAATTCTGTTTGGAAACCCCCTCTTTCTGGGGTCTTTCAGTTCGTCAGCAAAAAGAACCCCTACGTATAAGCTATCTGAAATACAGTAGATCGTTTGAAATTTATTTTGTAGCTGAGCAGCAGACTACCAGAAAAAGAGCTTGAATCTCTTTCTATGGCTGATGGTCACGCGTGTCTTGGCGAGAGTTTACTCTACTCTGGTGAGTCTGAAAAAGCACGGAGTCATTTAGAGACTGCACAATCCTTGTTTAAGAATTACAAGGGCCCAGAGAATGTGCGGCTAGACTTGGCCAATGTGTTGCATTTTCTTGGAGAGGCTTGCAGTAACAGGTATATATGACTTACAACATCTTACACATGTGACACAATACGTTATCACATCAATTAAATAAAACACTAAGAAATGGAACAATTAAATACAAACAAACAAGGGCAAAGAAGGCAGATGCCATACAAAAAATGCTAATCTATAATCCAAGAAACACAATGTGTACACAGTTAAACAGCGAGTTTCATTTCAACTCACGGAAACTGTTTGGAGAGGTCCCTGTGGATCTGATTATTTACAAAGTATAGGAAAGAATAACTAACTTTCCAAACAATTTTGTCATGGATTTTAGCAGGTTGTTCAAAGTTAAGACACACAATCTGACAAATCGCTGTAGCTAAAGTCGGTTAGTAGTAAAGAGGTTTGACCATTAAGTGTTTAAGACTCGTCAGACCTGCATAGACCGCTAGACTTTTGTCATTTTAAAAGATCATTACCAATCATAAAATACATCATCGTACCTGGGTTTAAAAAAACGTAACAATCTAATGTTACCTAATTTTTTTGCATAGTCATCTGGGAAACCCTCAGACAGGCGAAAGATACCTAAGAAAGGCTTTGAAAGAAAAACTGGAGTTGTTCGATGGCAGAGCACATCCACAAGTTGCGTTCACTCTGCAAAGTCTTGGAAACGTTTTGAACGAGCTTGGAAAACAATCTGAAGCGATGTGAGTACTGTACATGGCTTAGCAGCGCAAAATGCCTTGAACGAACGAGGATGCTTAAAAATGTAGCCCCGTGAGAAATTGGCATGGGCTAATCTCGTTGAGAAGTAATATAATCGAACTCAAAATGATTCCCAAAGTGTACTGTCAATGATCCCCATTTAGGACTGCAAATGATCCTACAGGAAAATAAGAAATATTATTTTTTCGCACGGAATAGTGGGCAATGTAGACAAGACTTCAATGAATGCAGAGCTCTTATTTATACTCGCTTAGTTGGGGAATGGTGGCAATATCTCAATGAATAAATTTATTTCTATATGTTGTCGTTACCCTATGTCAACGGATTTTCTTTTTGGCTTTTTTTCTCGAGAGCCCTTTTTCTCTTACATTTGACCCAAGGACTTTTCCGTAGTTCAAATATGATGTTCTCTGCATTTTCTTTAATCCAAAGGGCATTGTTTTCCAGTGCTTTCTGTGGGTACGAAAGGCATGTTACAGGTCTATCCTAACGATAACGTTTTTTTTTTGCGACAATTGCCTTAAATAGGAGTTCCGTTAGTTTAACTTAGAAAATTGACATGACTGAGTACTTGCGGTCCACATCGGAATCATTTGCAGTCCTATTAACCTCAAAAGAATAATATATAGATTTAGGCAAACCTAAAAGTGGAGCTCCTGGGCCGGGTTAAAGCTCACTCAGGATAAGCGAGAATTTTGATTTGAATTTGTAACTTTGGGGTGAGGTTTTCTGTATATTGTTTGGCCTTCTGTTTTGAGTTTGAATGATCTCAAAATACTCAAAATTTATAATTTGGTTAACTTTTAATCCTGGGTTAGCGTTGACAGGCTTCCGAGCAAACCCTCCCTGTCTAAAACAAGTTAACCTGACATGAACCCGCAACCCAATCGAAAACTAGTGTTTTGTCAGCGGTCAACTTAAAAAAAAACACGTGACCTCGATGAGCTACAAACTTGAGCTCGCGACACGGTCACGCGATACTGGTCAGCGATAACTTGTTTCGACAGGTGTTAATTGGCTCTAACATTGATGTCCAATATCAAAGAAGAACGCTTTAAACCAAGGCTGCATGTCTGTCAACCTATTAGCTGGAGTCTGGCCGCCATCTTGGGCAACTCCGTCGCCGTCATACGCACCCACGAGCAATACCGCTAGCCATGATAACCTTGAGTAATTCAGTTCACGGGTTTCCTTTTCTTCCCTATATGAGTATGGGGCTCCGCTGTAATGCTCCTGTTGAAGGAAGCACTCTCGGTAGACCGATGAACACATTTTGTTAGAAACAAGAACTTTCCTGGGAATATGCTTGTGACTATATGATTACTGCGGCTGTGTCATTGCTGGGTGAGTGTAAATTTTAGCGAGGCATGGGCGCGTTTCAGGACAGAAATTCAAGGTAGCATTATTATTCTTAAGAAGGCAGTGTTAGCAGTGCCCCTGCTAGTTCAGAATCTAGAAGCAGTCTAGTCACAAACACTAAGTCAACAAGCTGTCGAAACTTTAGGCAGTTGCAGCTGCAAAAGTTTGTATCGAAAGGCCAAGAGACTGTAAATTTCAATGCAGGAGCGTTTTCTGGAACGAAAGTCCCCATTTATTTTTATTACTCTTCTCAACAGATCACTTTCTTTATCTGAAGAGTTCCTTTGAGTTCCTTTTAAAATAGGAAGTCAACTTTTAATAGTTAATTTCAATAGTATATTTTATTGAGTTTTGATAACATGTATTAGATCACGTCTTAACTAACTGTCATATAACTACTCTTGTTTTATTCATGACTTGTGAACTGTATTCCCCTCCTCCATTATTACTATACTCTAACTTCCAACCTGGGAAAGAGTAAGTTCTGTTTTCCTGCATTCTCGATGTTTCTTTCGGTCTTATCTTTGGAAATATCAAAGTTATCAGGAAAACAAAACCAAATCTTTTCACTGGAACCAGCAATTAATTTAATTATGCAGAATTCATGGGAAAATGATGACAAGGCATCGATTTCTCTGTAGTAATCACATCAAGAGAGCTCTCGAGATATACGATGAAACTGGGAACTACGAACAAGAGTATGGGTATACCCTAAGTGCTTTGGGGTCTTCATACCGTTACCTTGGTCAGTACACTCAAGCAGAAGACTGCCTAAAGAAGGCTCTGAAGATCTTCAGATCCGTCCATTCACCAAGCAAGCTCAGGGTAATTAACCGCGTTACTGAGTTACATCTACTGGTTATCTCTAGCAACACAACAATAACCATTAACGTCAGCACAAGCAAGAGGAACAAAAAGATCCCATACAAATACGTAAAGCTAAGCGCAAGAAAAGGATCAAAATGCTTTTATTCTTGTGCTGCAGTTGTAAGCGTTTGTATGGATTCTTGTATGTTTGCGTCGCAAGTGAAAACTAGGCTTTCGCTTTGTCTTTTATTGCAACTTACATAGTCATTCTCTTATACTTCTTTAGTTACAGATTCTATGGTGGCTCATCAACACCATCGTGCTTTTTGGTGTCTTAACGCTTCATTTAGTGAAAATATCTAACAAACATATGTTTTTTCGTGCTATTTATATTTTTGTTTTTATTTTATTACGCAACTCTACACGACTTAAACATTTTTTGTTTATATCGTCGGACCTTAGCTTTGTAGTGCAAAAACCGCTAACTATTCATAGCAATTTCCCATATTTATCATTTATCATTATTAAGAAAATTCTTCTTTTTATGTCGTTTTTTTTTTTACAAAAAAATGACAAAACAGTAAAAAGGAAAAAAAGAACTCAAAACTAAAAGAAAATTGAGAGAGATAAAAGAGATAAACTGCTCAACAAGTTGGAAAAAGGAAAGAAAAACAGAGATTATACGAAAAGAATCATTTTCTTCCATATTTTTATTAAAATAATTCAAATAGTTTTTATTTACAAGGCTAAAAAAGGTTAAAAAGTAAAAAACACTGAACGTTTTCGACACCAGGTCTTCATCAGGGTGATGATGATGATGAAGACCTAGTGTCGAAAACGTTCAGTGTTTTTTACTCTTTAACCTTTTTTAGCCTTGTAAAATAGGAATTATTTTTAAAATCAAAGCGAATATTATGGACAATTCAAATAATTGCGAATAAAAATGAAGCAATGAGAAGCTAATAATCACTATGGTGCTGATGGGCCACCTTAGATATGTTTTTTAAAAAATCCTTCTTCAAATCTACACTCACTCAATCAATCATGTGACTACTATAGTTCTACGTTGCTTCAAATGCGGAATTTGCCGGCATACATAATATTTGAGCCATTTTACCTTTGAAAGGAATAAAAAGCACACTAGTAACAAACATGACAAAACAACGCATGCCGTAAAAACTATGATTTAAAGTTGACATTTCATATGGTTCTCCTTATATCTTTATAAGTGACTGTAAATTGATTTGTGGATATAGACTAAGCATACGAAATGTCAAGTTTAAAATCATAGTTTCAAGGCATGCGTTGTCATGTCTATCACTGCAATGTGATGATAAGGTTTTAATTTCCCTGGCGTCCTAAATTTTCCGTCTCTTAAGTAGATTATGAATTTTTCAGTAGTGACCTAAGATGGGTATCTTTTTTCTCGTCCTACCTTGACATCCCTAACTATAACTGTATTACATTTGTTAAAACAGTTTTTAAATGAGCGTCGTAAGACTAAAGCCAAGCCAAATACCCACCAATTAGATTACTCGGTCGATACTAGGCCAGTCTCAAACCGAAGTTAAACCAACACCAAAACCAAAGAAATTGCCTGAATACTTTCGACACTCAAATGAAAACAGCTCTAATACCATAGTTTGAAACATGTATAATTTTCAATGAGGATAAGAGAAGTGGAAGCGTATTTTAAACGTGTGTAAAATTATGGCTTCAAGTTTTCTGCACTGATTTTAATCTGTGAGACTCCTTTTAAATTAAATTTAGTTTACATGGACAGAGAAAAAATAATATAGGTTAAAATTTTCTCATTAAGTCTCCTGTCATCTACTTAAAGGAGATATGGATACATTAATCGAGACGCAGCTTCAAGTTTCGAGCTAGTTGTCCAAAGCCTTTATCACTTACATCCCAAAATGACACGCTTACGCAACGCTAAATCAGTGCTCCAGGAATGATGTCTGTTTACTTTCATCGCTCGTGATTTTAACATGGAATTCCTTCATACAGTTTTCCAAAGCGTTTTTGTTACCTGCGAAGTAAGCGGTAATTGCATTTTGGAAGAGTGACAGTTGCTTATGCATCACTTTCAATTGTAATAGCGACCGGGTTGATCAAACAGAGCCTACGGCATTACAAAGAACAGAACAAAAAAAAAAAAGAAAGAATCGACGGCTCTGGACAACAGCTGAAATGGAGAGACAGGATCTCTGCAAAAACCACGAAGAAGGCTTGTTTTGGTCAGTAGCTCTATTCTGGTTGTAGCAGGAAATGTAAAATCTCAATGCAAGACTTTGGCAAAGCGCTACTTTGACTCGAAGTTTTTGGGTGAGTTATTATCCGAATTATGCACAATCAAGCATCTGAATAACAACTAAATTGTTGCTGCGTTCTCTGCTAACTAGACCAACGTTCACAAAGGGAAAGAAACAGGACCTACACGAAAGAAAATCGCTAACCATCAAGGATTTCTGCAAAACCAATACCTAAAAACTGAAGGCAAATATTTCCTTAGCACTTTTATTTTGTTTCCAGGATTTAAGGTCACTGCTTCTCCTGATGAAAAATGTTACCTATTTCATATTTGTTTGTAAAAGATATGATATAAATTTATAGTACTTTGTCTAATTCATTGAAAACGCGTGACTAATAAGACAGGTTATTTATCCAAGATGTGGCAGATGGAAGCTTTTGATGTATGCCAACATTTCTCTGATAAATCTACCTCCTTTCAAATGACGAAATGTCAGTAAAATTTTATTTTGAAGAATGGTCAGACAGTTTCCTTAAGAGCTGCACGCCTCAAATTATTGTAAACAAACTATATACCTTTTTTTCCTCTAAAAATCTGAGTTTGATTGCCAAGTCATCACGAAGCCGGTCAAATTTCTCTTTCTGGACATCAAACTGTTGTTTAGCCTTTTCAGCTTTAACAGCCGAAGCTGAGGTTATTGGTCCGGTTTGGGTAGACTCTAGGTCTGTTCTGTAGGCATCATACTTTATTCTGGCAGATTCATATGCTTTTACTGTCACAATAGAATCTTCCACAGTCTTGTGCACCAAGGTGGTCAGGTTGGATGTAAAAAAATTAAGTGCCTCAAGAAGAGCTTCCCCATTATGTACCAGCGATCTTTGAGACTCGGCGTTGTGGTTGAACTCATTTTGTAGCTCTGGGGATTTCATCCCTAAATCTGTGAGCGCCTCAGCAAGACCTCTTTGACTTTGAACCAAACCATGAAAATTATGTGTCATCTGCTTTGCAAGCTTTAGAACATTCGTATACTTTACTTTGGCTTCTTTTACTGAGCAAAATAATTTGTCCTTCAAGTTCAGTATCCACAGTCCTTGTACCTTTACCAAACCTTTCAGAAAGGTATTGCCTAGTATACTTGTATGTTGAAATACTCCATTTCTTTAAGTGTTCCATTTTCTGAGCAGTTCCTGATCGAACAGTGGCTTGAGAAGTGGAGTGACCATTTTGGTATGTTCCTTGTGGTGACTGCCATGACACTGATGACGACGAAGCTCCTGTCAAGATTCAGTGAACAATACGCTATATTTTTAACACCTTGCGAAATATCCCGGCACTGGGTAGTCATCTTCCTCCGCTCATTTTATGTCTGATGAATGTTGTTGGCTTCTTCAGCATCATCAGACGGAAGCTTAGGAGCACCACACGGTAAAAACTCTTATGCCGACCCCAATTAAGCGGACGCTAAGAATGGTCCCGAAATTAGCGTCCTACATTTACTTTTATAACGAGCCCCTTTCCATCGCTAAAAAACCTCTATTAAGAGGGCATCAGACTGAAATGACAATGCAAATTTTATTTCAAATTTAAGGGTGAAATGAAAAGTGATAAGTCCGTAGAGCGGAAAGGACAAATTACAAATAGCATTAAAGCGAGCTTAGCTATAGTAGAGTTTAGTAGATCTCGACTATCTCTCTATTATTTGCTTGAAATGATGAATTTCAGTTTTACTCTCGATAAATGGAGCTCCCGTTTTCTCAAACCAATTTTCGTTTCGCTTGGAGTCTTTGGAGGTCCGCGAAATCTGAATTGCAGTGTACATTAGACAATTATTCCACGAGAAATGACAGATTTGAGATGACAGATAATCATCTCGAAGCGCTTTGTTGGCTATAATCACTTCATACCCAACAAGCGCGAGTGGAATAATTTCTTTTTATGAAAAACGCCCCAAAATAAAGACAACTAAAATAAAAGTAAAAACGCCCCAGAAAAGTAGCTTTACGCTTACCGTATTAGTATACCATGGTATAATTGCTTTATTAAAACCTTGGTCATTGGTTACCGCAATTGAAGAGTTTTCATTGGCTTGGCCATCATTATATATGAGCCATTATACCATGCTCTACAAATATCGTAAACGTACTGTGATTTTTTTGTGCGTTCTTATTTTATTATTTTTATTTGAGTTTTATATATTTTTGGGGCGTTTTTAATAAAACAATTATTCTATTCACGCTTGTTGGATATGACTATATGAGATGTTTATAGCCAACGAGGCGGCCATGCATCGCCGAGTTGTCTATTTACGCACGCTCTTGGAATAATTGTTAAGTAACGGACACGTAAAGGGAAAACGTGTTTTGTTTATGAGAGGTTTACTGTAAACACGTTGCATTGCTGTTGTGAGAGCAATGTGAGATTCAGCTTATGACATTCGGTTTCAGTCAACCGGTTTATGTTCCTTTTTAATCAAACGACTCAGGAAATGGTAACTTCGAATCGATGTCCGGACGCCGTGTGAAAAGGTCCGCTTAAACTGCCGCTGATTTATAAGAGATGAAACTGCACACTCAGCCGACCAGGGTGTAATAACGCATGTACGGAGGCATTACAATGCACATTTAGCCTTTTGCTTAGCGCCGTTCTCGTTGCCATTGTCATTTGCTCCCAAATACCGAGGTTACACAGCAACTGTCTAAGTATCAAACTACAAATAGTGGATATTATGCAATTATTATCCCGCACAAGTGAAATAAATATATCGCCTTCCGGTACGTGAAGAATTATATGTAAGATGTAGACCGTTACAAGGCAGTCGCCCTGATCGAACTCAACTGTCTTTTTTATAAACAGTTTGTCATTTAATTACCCATGGGTTCTGTCTACAATTCCATCAGATTTCGATCTTTTCAAAAATATTTCATTTTCCTCTCAGGTTAAGGGTAAAAGGCCCTCGTCAAGGATAAATCAATCGTATCAAGGTGAAACAAAAGTTGAATAACTAGTTCCTAGCCCAGTCACAAAACTAACGTCCAATCAACCCATTCCAACGGCGCGAAAAACCGGAACACATGAATAAAAAGACTCTCAGTACTACTACGGCTTACCCCTGAATACTCTGTTGATATTCTTCTTTAACATCATTTTTATGGCTGAAAGTTTTTTTTCCTATCAAGTTATCAATAGCCAGGTTGCACATGCGTGGACCCTCTCGTATTTGCCGGTACCTGAGAATACCTGTACTACCTGCTGTAACCTCGACCGAACGGTAGTTGTTTGGGAGATTGCACGGATCACACTCGTCTCTTGCTGGAACTTATTTCTCCTTACAAATTTTACAAAATAACTCTACAACTCGTACTGCAATTGATTTTACTATGGTTTGTTGTCTACGGAAACCTCTAGACCATTGAGTCTCTAAACAGAAACATATTTTTATTAAACTGGAAAAGGAGACTAGGGAAAAAGTCAGTGGCGCGTTTCCCTAGTTCTACAGATCAGTAGTAAAACAACAAGAACTTACTGAAGTGTGCGTTATTCGCCACTTTGTAAACGAGAAAATATAATGGGCGAGTCTCCTGGAGAAATTAGTCGAGAGACGTCAACAAAAAGATCAGAAGCTATTCGACCCCAGCAGCGGTCCTACGAGCTTGAGATGAGACTCGGCCTAGATTTCTTTTCGTTGCTGAAGTGGCGAATGGGCGCAAAAATGCCATTCCAGCTACGTAACAAAAAGGTCCGAAACCAGTCAGAAAGGAGAGTTTTGTTTTTGTTTCGATAGTGGGTAACAGGTAATAAAGATAAAGTTAATAAAGACACTGCAGTGAAGAGGGTTTGTAAGAGACTGATTCCACTAATGTCCATTTCAGATTGGTTTGACGCTCAGCCGCCTTTCCTCAGTTCAACGAAACATGGACAAACTGGACGAGAGCATTCATTCTTTGAACGAAGCACTAAACATGTTTGGATACAACGACATATACAGAGCCGTGATCTTATCAAAGCTGAGTGTGGTGTATCGCTATAAGGGAGATTCTAAACAAAGTCTTCGCTATGCAGAGAAGGTTAAAGAAATTTCAGACGGGCAGCATGACACAAAACGTCATCCAGGTAGGTTATTTTAATTTGCAGTATTACTGACTATTTCAGTTCAACCCAATACTCCTTTACAGAACGAGCAATGCAGTATTGTTTTACAGAATAAACGAGAAAAAATTTTCTTTCAAATGCCATTAATCTTTTCAATGTTTATTTATTCGTTCGGTAGCAGAAACTTTCTTGTATAGCTTATTAAATTTTTCTCCGTTTCATACAAGTGAAGATAAATAGCTAAATTGTCTAACTAATTAAAAAGAGGCTGAAAAAGAAAAATTAAGCTGCTGAAAATCTAGGTATTGTTGACATTTTAATATCGTTATAGTTGAAAAATGCAGGGAATAAAGGAAAATGTAGTTCTTAACAATAGAACAAGGAAACAAGGTAAAGTAAGGAATTAATCTCCCCTAAGGCAAAAGCCAGGAAAAACACTGGGACACAAGTATGGCGCACCGTGACGACATGTGAAAACTATTTCTAGTATTTAACACGTAACGATTATACCTCTGTCGATCCATTCAACTTTGCGTCTTTAAACACTCACTTCTTTCGCGCAGCGGATTTAAAAAACGAACGTTCGAATCTCTGCGGAGGAAAGAGCAATAATTCCATGCCCCTGCGCTCGATAGGCAGTGATAAATTTAAAAAAAGCAGGAGATCTCTTGATTGAGTTTAAGTGCACACACTCATCTGCGAGCAAATAGCCCATTTCCTAGTTGCCTTAACCCTCTCTATCAAAGCGAGGACTGGTGCACAACCATTCATAAGAAAATGAGTTTAATTTGCATGTGAATGAAATCTCATTTTCATATGAAAAGTGGGAACCAAGACTCGCTTTGAAAAAGGGGCTAAAGATAATTCGGAAATGGCCTATTTACGCTTAACATTGTGCGTCGCAATGATGCGCAATGCGCGATTGCCATTAAAGTCGTCGACATTTTTGAAAATGATAACAAATGATCCGAAATAATGACCTTGTCGAAAACTGTACGCCTTTTGCTAGTCAAATGGCGGAATCGAGAGTTAACTTGTTTACACGGCTCTCGTCATAGACCGACTATTATTGTATTACTCAGAATTGATCAAGTCTATTGACGTATGGAGGGGTAGACCCAAATGTAGGGGAACAAGCTTCACTGTAGTGCTGAGCGTAACGTTTTCTGAACTAAATTGTTCGAAGTCCGGTTTTGGATCTTCTCGCGGATTTTGCTGCTTTATATTCTTCGTTCAGTCGCTTTTGCTGTAGGTTTTCAAGCCTTTTCATTTAAATCTTTCGCGTCAAACTCTGCTTAGCTGATTTAACTGTGGCATTCTGTGGATTTTTGTAGATTCCAGGATGACATTACCAATAAATAAACACAGGTATTAACAATAAACACACGTATTAACAAGAATTGATTAAAGCAAGAGAAGATCAAGGTAAAAGAGTTAATCCCCCACGTAGGCCTTATACTGAAAGTAATCCCTCTTAAGCTATTTTTAGACATGGTACCTAGTTCTTCCGCAGATGTTACTCGCAATCCAAACCCTGCATTGGGCCTTTGACTTTTACCAAGCTAAGATGTTTACCAAAACTTGATTATTTTGACTTTGTTTGCCTACATATTCATTGAGTGTTTTGACTTTGTTCGCCTACATTTTCATTAATTCTTTGACATTTATTAGAAAACAGATGAAGCGTTTTCGCTCAACTGTCGCTCAACTGAATGTGGCGTCTTTTTAACCAGCAGATAAGATCCTACCTTTTCCTTCACCGAACATTGTGAGAACTTTGTAGTCAATCACAAATAAAACATGTGTTAGCGCCCATGTTGTTCCCAATATGACTGTTATAATAGAATTGGTTCATACTTTTAGCTGTGCATATGTCGAGTTATGGGTGCACTTAGGAAATTTGGAAAGTACTCAAGAAGCTAGAGTTGTTCTCTACTGCACCTTGAGTGACTCTTGCGCTTCTGCGTGCTTTCCAAAACTCCCGCTTGAACCAATTCTTTAATTAACCAACTTTGGATAATGGATTTCTTACCTTCTGATTGGTTCCCTGAGTCTCGATTACCAGTCAATATACCTGTGCTTGGCTAAACGTGGAAAATGACTGCGGAGAGGGTGTTTGTAATGGCATTAAACATTTTCGACAGCATGTGGGAGAAAAATGATTGGAAAAAAAACCAGATTTGGTAAGCTTCAAAGGCAAAAAAGAGCCGCAGAATGTGTACAATTATCTTAGCTACGAAGAGTTTGATGCGAAAGATTTATTTGAAAAGGCTTGCAAATTTACAACTTACAATGTGTGTTACAGCTATTGCTACTGCATTATTGAATCTTGGGCATGCTCAAAGTGACATTGGGTATGTGGAGGATGCAGTAAAGAATCTCACCAAGGCGATGGAAATTTACGTTGCACTCCACGGTAAAAATCATCGAATTGTTGCTGCCAACCTTAACTACTTGGGGTATGCATATCTGCAAATGGGAATGGTAGAAACGGGAAAGAAACAGCTGGAAAGGGCAGTGGAGATTTTTGGACAGGATTCGCCATTACATCCAGGTAATAAGCATTGGTGTTAAATAGAGTGTTCAGCTAGTTACTAATATAAGCCGTAAATTACAAACATAGCTGATAGCAAGTGACCGGTTGCCAGACTGCATCTTTTCAGTTACACGTTTTCATCTCTTATACGGGTTAAAGAGAAAAATAAAGAATCGTCGAGATATTTAGAGGTTTGTGGCTGATATTTTAGAATGTCCTACTCCGCGAATTTCTTACAAAAGCATCAGTACATCCGTAAATAAACCTGAACTTACGCTTGCATTTAAGTGTACCAATGGCCTTTAGAAGGCTAACTTCTCTCATTTGCATCACACTACAATCCAACAAGTATGTGAAGCAAGTTCGGGGAATTTTGCTGGTTCTGCCCGAAATTCCCTCACATCCATGTTAGATTACGATGGAATGCAAATAAGCAAAGCTAGCCGTGACAAGGTCCATTCAGGTCGCTTTCAGCTTCTTAGAACTGGTGGGCATCTTTAACTCCACCATTTTCCGTTGACGATTACCACTTTGATATCATCAAACACTGGGCGTAGATAACTTCGAATTTTCTTGCTAAGTTCGCTGAGATCCCTTTGTACTGCGTCGGCCGATTTCTGATCTTTAAATAGCAAGGCAATTCTTATGGGCTTGTCTAGCTGAATTTCGTGTTGTGATTTGGCTTGATTTGGTGACTGAACGGATGAAACTGCTGATGGTAGAATCAATAAGTCGGTCGCGGAGGATACTTCAATTTCGGGAACATTGATTTGAGATAGTTACATCAGTTCAACGGAAAAAAGACCGGGCCCCAGTTGATTAAAGGGTGTAAAACCCTATCCACCCTTCGCACTACCGGGGTCTTAAGAAAAAGATGATGAAGGGAAACCGACTAGCAAAACGCGTCCACAGAAAAACAACAAACAAAGTTCTCTTACTGTCCTCAAGAGATTAAATTCTCTTGAGGACGAAAAAATCTCCTCCTGCACTAAAAAAGTCGCGTCGACAACAAGTATGAAACGTTCACTCTTGGAGACAAAATTTATTCGCACACATCGTGTTTCATTTTTCGCAGATCTTTTTTCCGTTGAACGTAACAACCCGAAATCGATGGTTCTGAAATGAAGGTACCCCCCTCGACTTCAAAAGCTGTTTGAACTGATTTATTTGTTGGCTGTCGCCATTTAAATTGATTTATAGAGAGAGCCAATTCACTGAAGAGGCTCAGCAAGGCATGCTTGATCATCGGGGAGACTGTCAAAAGTGCTGATTTAGCCTTCAGCGCATTGCAGAGTTACAAGGACACTTATGAAAACACCATGGAACACAGAGAGGTAACTAACTAAAAACCTTTTAGGCCGGACATTGCTAAGAGAAGCGAAGGACAAACTAATTGAAAGTTTACAATGCAACACACCATGTTATTGTGAAAAACACTCGCCTAAAGTTTAGGTTAATTATGTTCGGGAACATTTACCACTTTTATGGCAACTTTTTTCTTCTCGTTGACAGCGACTCGACCTTAGCATATGTCCAGAGTCGTTGCCCTTGTTTTGTCTTCACAATACTTATGATTCGATGGTTCAAAGACTGCCACTCTTTACATTAGTTGCACTACCGACAACGATGGTGAACACCTATTAACATAACAGGTTACAATAGCAACAGTTCAACACAGTGAGAAGATCAGAGACAACTTGTACAAAACACTCCGCCTATTTTGTTCTATTTAGTTTATTTTATTTCATTTCATTTCATTTTATTTTATTTTATTTTATTAGCTTTGCCTTTTTGATGCCAAAAAAAAAAAACAAAAAAAACATTACAATCAATATGTAGAGGTTTGGTAGGGACATCGCAACAGCTACGACATATTACTTGTTTACATTACGTTGCATAACCTTTCTTACTTACAATCTGCTATATTACTTGCATACATCACTAACAGTACATTACATCACCTTCTTGCAATACGTTACGTTACATTACTCACTTACAATACACTATATTGCTTCCTTACAAGCATCACTTGCAAGCTTACCATATAGGTTGCAGCACGATACACAAAACTGGAATTATTTAAGCGTTGCAAATTGAGAGTGTGACTGCGTAGTCTACGTACTGCATGCATTAATTCATGAAACTATACCACTTCTTTAAAAAGGTGTTATGTTTGTCTGTTTCACAAGGGCTATATAACGTTCAATTTCTATTTTGTCATTTACAAGATTTCTGTAATCTGCGAACTGAAATTGAATTCAATTTAATGCTCTGCAATAAAGAACGTGCTTACCGATCAGAATAAGGTGGTTTTAGGGTTGAACAAGAAGACCAATTATTAAGGATCATTAAGTGCGCCGTAAATAATTTCGTTCTTAGAAAGGCTCAGGGTCTCTTTAGTAAAAAACTGATACCATTCAATAAAATCCGACCAAGAATAACTAGCATATGGACAAGATACAAATAAATGACTGACTGTTTGGTCTAGGTTTGTGCAACCTTTTTCATTTTGTAAAGAAAATTGCGAACAATCTTGTATTGGAATATTGAAAGTGTAATTTCTTAAGTCGGGAGAAAGGGTAAAGAATATATTTTCTGTCGTTCGTGAATATCAGATCCACATTGTGTAATTATTTTCTCACCCGTTGGAGGAGAGAAGTTCTGATGATCAATTAAAGATCCGTAAATTGTTTTGCACTTAAGTTTATTAACTGCAAGTAAATTGTCTGTGGCGGTTTGCTGTTTCTGTTTTTAGGTATTTTTTCAAGACACTGGATATTGCCGAAAGGAGACCGATACCGTAAAAAATTACATTTAACGTTACATTTTGTAAGACTCGTTAAATGACAGAAGTCGAGTGTTACTCTCGTCGAGAAGACTGGAAAGTTTATAGATACCGCCTTGATGCCAGCTTCAAAAATACGCGGAGGCTTTGCTAATTTATAAGACCTTATAAGAATCAATTATTCCAAACGATTTGGTCCTGTACGTCTTTCTTTGTTGTAATTATATTGTAACAGAAGTGTTCCGCCGACACCAGATAGAAAGCGCAGTAAAGACGCCTCACCCAACATATTTTTAATGCCTTAACAAATGACGTCGAATCGATCATGTCTAGCCCTCCTTTTTCTTTACTTTCAAACAAGGTAGATTTTTTTAGCCTTTGGATTTTTGTACTTCAGTCCATGCATAATCATAAATTAGCTTATTAACTTAAGTAGCGAACATGTCTGGTGTGTTCAGCACACTACAAACGAAAGTTGGCTTTGAATTGCAGTTGTCTTTACTATATTGATCCTGCCGTATATGAATATATCTCGTGACGACCAAATGGTTAGTATTCTTCTTATTAGGTGTAGTCGATCAAAAAAGTTCTTTTTGGCTGCGAGTTGTTCGTTGTATGAAAATCCTTACCACATAAATTCTGATTTAGATCGATTTATTCGTAATCCAGAATAATTTTCGAACTGGGCAAGTAAATTAAAAAGGTTGGTTAGTGACTGAACGTCTCTAAGAAAAACAGTGGTATCATCAGCATACTGCGTAAGTTTTATTGTGTTTCTGTCATCTGCTCGATGCCTTTTATTTCAATTTTGCTCCTGATGGTACCAGAATTTCCATCCCAATAGAAAGCAGGTCACAAGAGAGAGGACAGCCTCGCTTGACTCCCCTTCCCAAAGTAAACTGCTTAGTGGTAAAGCCGTCGTTTAGGTTGCAACTTCAAATGTCGCTATATATTGCGTCCATCCACTGCCGTAGTTGCGGACAAAAGTTGAAAGTTCCTGGGCAGGAATTTCTAAAGATAATTCCATTCAATGGAATTAAAAGCTTTTTCGAAATCTAGAAAAAACGGCTAAGCTGGGGATGATTTGCGTCTTGGTGAATGAAATGATATCTGTAATAGTTCTACTTTCGCCTATCAAGATGATACTTCGGAGGAAACCTAAACCAGTTACCCTGTTTTGTTTTTCCTTTTCGTTTAACGATTACGTCTGGTTCTAATTTTTTCGTTTTTTTTGTTGCAGGTGCGAAAATGTACCGTGAGGGTTGCGTACGCGTGCTCTAAGATGGGTCTTTTTGATGCGGCAAAAGAATATCTCAGGGAAGTAGAACTTTGCTTCCCCAAAGAAAAAGTAACACATCCCGAGTTTGCTGCATTTCTTCGAAAGAAAACTGAAATTACTCTTGACAGTTTCGAGTCAGTCAGATGGCCTTCAGATGAGCTGAACGTTCAAAAGATATTGTCGAAAGCAGACACGGATCTTGTCAGAGCAGAAGAAATCTTGTCCAAATCCCTTGGACGTAATCATCGCAAATTCGCCGTGACGAAGAAGGAGATAGCGCGCCTGAAAATTCTGATGGGTTTTCACGAGATTGCCCTCAAGGAAATTTGTTCAGCTCTAAAAGTGCTGAGTCCCAATGTTTCTCACTACTTGAAGGCGGACTTTTCGCTGATAAGAAGTGATGCTGAAAAGAAACTTGGACTGAATATGGCTCAAGAGCTGTCCTTAAAGAAAGCCGAAACTATTTATCGACAAACATTTGGTGATAATCATCCGATGGTTGTGTTTACTCTGCAGAAACTGTGTACTTCATATTTAGATTTAGAGAACCCCCAAAAAGCCCATGAATATTTTAAAGCTAGTGAAAAAGCTTGTGAAGTGCTTAAAACGAATCTTAAGGAGCAGCTTGATAGCTGTCAGAGCAATTTCCTCAAGAACTACAATATTAATACACATCCTATTGTAAAGCGTCAGCAGTTACTAGCTAAGAGAGTCATGCGTAATCAAGGTGCATGGTAAATCAGTAGGAACTTTCGTAAGGGCGTAGCTAGGGGGGGGCTCCTGGGGTGCCCGTGACCCCCCTTTTGTGAGCCTTTTTTGGGCAGACAACCTACAACAGGTGGCGGAAACGTAATGACAATCTGGTGAGTACCCTCACTTTGACACAGTGTGACCCCCCCTTCGAAAAATCCTGGCTACGCTCCTGTTTCGTACAAAGTAACCTAAACCGACGACTAATTCCAAAATGTTGTAAAAAGCTTTGTTGTAATGCTTGTCACATAAAAGTAAAACAATAGCAATATACAGACAGTAACAAAGGAACTTTAGTTATAAAAGTGTTGCTCTGCAGGGCTGTTTAATCTGAGCATGTACTCTGTTGTACAAATAGCTTTTTGCTATTTTTTTTTAATCCGTACTCGTAGTGAATAGAAATACCACTCCAAGAAATCTGGAGGTCTCCCAGACAAGTTTTCTTCTTTTTTCTTCAATTTATGGAGTACGATTAAGAAATATTGTTACATTTCAATTCCCAAGAAGACTAATGGAAGAAAATTGACTGTTATGGGACTTAACAATCGTAAAATTGTTCAACAAACTAGTGATCGGGAGTAAACAGCTCGAAAACAGCTGCAACTTTCAAACGACAATTTGGTCCACGTGTGATCTTGCTAAAACGTGTGTTATAGCCGCACAACTGTAGTTTTCTAGTTTAATGGGATTTGACATTATGTGAACTTTAAATGAAGTACTAGATAAGAAACTTTGTATCTCGGATGTAAGCACATAGTTTTTGTCGTGTAGAGTTTTGGCTTTGTGAAAACTGGCTGTATTACGGTCAAAAAGCTACAAATATTGTTGAGTTGAAGTATCGGCAACAGCGCGAAGTTAACCCCTTCTAAATATGAACGCTCATCAACTATCATCTCATACAAATCAAGAGCGTAATCCCTAATTATTAAATATGAAACGGTAAAAGCTTCTTGGCCGCAGGGTTTTGCAACATTGATCATACTTGTTCTCCTCGAGGCAGAATTTAACCTTGCCAAGTGTTTTCAATAATAAAGTGTCAACAACTTTACTTTTTTAATCAAACAAGGTTGTGCGTATGAATATCCTTCATTTTCAAGACAGATTATAAATGAAAGCCCAGCTACCTTGATGATATCACTATCGCCGATAGGCTCCAGGGGAAGATTTAAACACTGTGGCAAACCATTTTCACAGGGGTTTTATCCGAGAGCTTCGTGAGTCCCTGCCGCATGCGTAACGGTTTCTCGGTGACTACTTAATGAAGATATTCATATTAACAAACGCATTTAGTATTTCTACACTTTAAAATGCTAATCTTTTTTAGTATAAATCTACTAACTTTCTATCACGAGTGATGTTCTTCTATCCTGCAGTAGATAATGAGTAGCTTAGCAGTGTACAGTTGTTTACAAAATGGCGGCAGCTTCTTTGCGCTTCGAAGAGTCTGTGAAGAGGATTTAGATAATTTGCTAGTCGAGCCGATTCCAGAGAAGATAAAAGTTGTAACGGAATATAGAGTGACGATTTGGAAGTGGAAGTCTGATCTCTAGAGCCTCAGCTTAACTTTTAATTAATTTCGTGCCATTGAAACTTGAAAATTAACTCGGGTAATCGGAGCCCCCTTGGTCGTAACACTTTACGTCAAAATGCTTTGACTTTTCAAAATATGTAGTCCCCAATGAAAAGTAGGGGAAAAAGGTAAAAAACTATCCACGCAAATGTTTTCGTATTTTTGATGTGAGGGCCCCCGGTGGAACTACCCCTGCCCCCAGCCCCTTAAGGGAAGGGAATCATGGGAAATTGGCTCATCGCATGGTCTTCCAAATTGCGCGGAATGTATGGCGGAATGTGTGTCAACCCGGGGAGTGTGGAAATCAGCTGAGTTATGGGAGCCTTGGCAGGTAAGCAGCCTTTATCTACTATTTGTTTTAGATTGTTTACTTTGCTTGATGGTGAAAGTATTGTTAAAGCTGAGGGTTTAATGGTAACAAGTGTTTGCGACGTATCTCAACTTGCAAGCTAGATGGGTCAAATGCCGCAACGACGATATTTTACCTTGCGAATTATGCGTAGTAAATCCAAGGCAGTTTTCATTTTAACTTGTAAATGGAACTTATGCAAAAATTAGGTAACAATGCACGGAAAGCAATGATGGATTGTATAGCTTGGCTGGCCCATGCGATACGAACTGGCCGCAACTTTGTTTTGTCGGGTAATAATGTAAGCTTAACTTAAAACGACGAACTGAAAATTGCAGTGTTGATTGGGAATCCACTTTACGATTTGAAAGTTATACTATGTGTTACACCTCGTATGGAAAGGAAGAATGGTGAGTTTATTTCACAATTTCGGTAAAATTTAAATCCCCAAAGTTTTCTAATGTCAAAGATGCGATGATAAGACGAACAGTGGGATTAAGCGGTGTTGGACACGACTCGCAAAGCATGCCGGGAGAAAATTTCCCTAGAGCGCATTTTCATCTGATCGCTGAACAGCAAACATCTCCACGTGCTGATGGTGATGTGGAAGTATGATTTGTAGGAGGTTCGCTTGCTTCTGATGCTGAAAGAAATCTGGAACGACATCCATATCAAATGTTCCGCAGGCCAAGTGATAGTTGTAGATGACTTCTGCTCGATTTACAAAGCCACCATTTTCAGTGCTGAACAGATGATTTTAGGAATCGAAGCTTCGCGGTTCNTCGACTTGTGTATGAAGTGTATGAGTGTATCGCTGGCCAACAACATGGTTGTTGACAGATATTATGTTTTTGTTCGACGATGAGAAAGCTGAGAAGTAAAACCTACGAAGAAAAGGGTTGAACAATTCAAAATCAAAGCAATGTTTCGTCATTGAAAACTTTGTAAAGCTTGATTAATTGAGTTTCGGCCGCTGTATTTCCTTATTAATCAAAAGGAATCTTAAACAGCTTGCTAATGAGCTATGGCTCTTTCAAAATAACAAAAATAATTTGCAATAAATGGAATTAAGAAAGCAGAAGCTTAATGGGAGAAGAAGGGTATGTTTTGCTTCAATGTAAGTGGTAAAAAATAATTGTATTCGTTCCCTGTACCAGATCACACTTCCAGCAAATTCTTGTTCAACTTGCAAATCCAAGATGAAGTATGTACTGTATGGATCTATTTAAATTTGTAGTCAATGCGATAAACACAATTTTGGTCTTGCTCAACTTCCTTGAGTGTGTTTAAAGTAAAAGGTCTGCAAATGACTTTGCCTCAGACATTGCTACTGGCAATATCAGTGTTCAAACTGATGAGAGTTTGAGATTTCTCTTCACCTAGTACTTAGTGTTGGATGTAACTTGTATTTGCTCCAAGTGTCCATTCCTTGGTTCTCAGTGCACGTGAGGCCATGTAAAAGGGAAATCGGGCTCAATGGAAAGAAGGCTTGCTTGAGTTATGTGAAATGAATGCTTTGGACAAATAATATACCTCATGCTGTTTAAAGTGGTTGCAGCTAAAATTGCAGATGGGAGATGTGAAAAAAAGACTTACATTTACCTGCAAATGATAATTCAATTCCAAAGTATGCTTTTTTAAAAATTGAATATTTGCAAAGTACTGACAAGCACAACAAAAAACCAGCAAAACAGCACAAAAGCCATATTCTGGAAACAGCGGCCAACACTAAGTTCACTTATAAAGTAGTAAATAAAACTGGAAGATTGTTAATGATAGGCATGGTGAATTAGCAATGAATGAATAGCTCATGGTCCTGACATGCCTTCATTGCATGTCCTCATATCACACCTCTGCTGAAGTTTAAGGTTCAACGTAACTTGTGTAAACTAAAGGGAGCTCTTCACCCAGAACAGTGCTATGTACGTCATTTGAAATATCTGTCAGTTTAAAATTTATTATTTACTGCAAGTCCTGTGGTCAACAACACAGCGATCATGTACTGATATTAACATTTCCTACATTGGCTGTTAAAAATTTTTTGCTAAAAAAAAAGTCTCCACAGCACTTCCTCGTGTCAACTCGTAATGACTGAGACCAACTCAATTCAGAATAATCTAGCATGTAGCTGTATCTTAGATCATCTATAGTGAGATGTTTTGACTGAGATAACTACAGTACCGCTCAAAAGTAAGTTACCACCGTCTCGCGAGATGCGTCTCGTTTCTCGTGAGACTCGTCTCG